ATATATATATATGTGTATATAGATATATATATATATATATCGGCAAGCATGGTACTAAAGCTCAAGTGGGACCCCTAGACGAATCAGAAAGACTTCTTGCAGGACCGCATGCAATCCCAGCCAACCGGACGGACAACGGAGATCGCATACTTCAACTCTGCGCAGACCACGGTTTGTTCCTGTCAAAGACGAACTTCTCACACAAGAAAAGATATCGCCTTAGATGGAGACCGCCAATCTCTTTACTGCGCTGGACCTAAATCGACCACATCGCCATCAGTTACCGCTGGGGGGATCAATTCAAGACTACCGCTCTTACTGGTCAACCGCTGTGGATACGGACAACGCTTTTCCACGAGCCAAATTCTCCTTACGCCTGGCAAACAACCGCAGAAAAGCTACCGATAACGGATACCCCGGATACAGCGCCAACGAATGCTGCAAATCAGCCTTCGAAGCGGAAATTTCCGATCACCTGTCAGTTCAACCACTAGTCGAAAGACTCAATGAACATTGGAAGCAAATTAAGGAAGCTATGCAAGCATTGGGAAAAGTAACGTCGGACCCTGGCGCAGCTTCAAAATAGAAACGATGGATCTCGTCGACCTCGACTGAGCTCCCGATGAAACATATGACAGCGCAAAATCCCTGAAATGTCAGTTCATCAAGATTCTGAGGAATGACCGCGAGAAGTGGTGGCTAGAGGAGTGTAAAGGTTGCGGCTATTGGTAATGGTCGCAATCTTTTCCCTCCAATTAGGAATACGGCCCCAAGGAAAGTAGGCGTGAGGTGATAAAGGAATACGATTCACGATCACCAACGCCGTCTGGATCGATGGGCTGAACACTTCAAGGCTCAGTGCAACTGGCCTACATCGACATCTGCTCTTTCACCCTCAACCTTGACTGGGAAAATAATGCCAGTTGGTGCTAGTCCTCCATTTGAAATGAAGGCAACCCGAGAAATAAATTATTTTAAAAGGCATAAGGCTTCCAGACCCACGGACTGTCCCCAGAGGCTTTTAGGGAGAGGGGTTCAGCCTTGGTTTTGGAGTTAACAGAACTCCTGGGATCAGTGTGGGAGAGAGAACAGGTTCCAACTGAATGGTGTGAATCGGTCATCATACCGATTTCCAAGAAAAGTGACAGATCCTCTTGTGAAAACCACAGAGGAATTAGTCTGATCAACATCGTCTCTAAACCTCTGTCTGGGATCATACTCTGTCGATTGTCTGACGCACGTGAACGGTGGACGCGTGAGAACCAGGCTGGCTTTAGACCTGGTCGAGATTCACTTCTTCGCTCTTCACTAAACTCTTGAACACCGACATTCCTTTCGTAGACCCACCATCTCTGGCTTCCTGGATCTGTAAGCGGCTTTCGACTCAGTCGACCGCTCTAAACTCTGGCGCTGCCTTTTCCTGAAGGGTGTGCTCGAGAAGTTAATTTCAATATCACAATCCCTTTATACTAATAGCCGAAGTCGAGTTCGAGCTTACGGCATGTTTTCGCCCGAGTTCACCACGGTGTGGTGTTCGACAGGGTTGCCCTCTCTCTTTCTCTGTTCAACTTCGTTATAGATTTGATTATGGAAACAGCCCTATCCTCGTGCGAGAATAGCGGCATCGATTTACTCCCAGGTGGCAGGCTCTCTGATCTAGAATATGCAAACGACATTGTGCTACTAAGTGCAGATCCAATTAAGTTACAAGCCTTTCTGGATAGTTTGAGTGCTAGTGTAACCAGGTTCGGTACGCGTTTTGCAATTTCATAGTGTAAAATGGTACTTCAAGATTGGGTTGGTCCTACACTCAGTCTCACTCTAACTGGGGAAGTAATAGGAGTGAGTGGATAAGTTTGGTTATCTCACCCGGTGAACGCATCACGGATGAAGTGTTTGCTCGCATAGAGAAGACTCGATTGGTATTTGACAACTTGACACACTTGTGGCGCCGTTGCGACATCCGGTTGTTTATTAAGGGTCGAGTGTATGCTGCGGCAGTTCGGCCAGT